GACGTCCGGGTTCATTACCGAGGCTATAATGCTGATGACTAGGAATCCAAATACGCATGCGCATCCGGAGGACCAGATGATTCCGAGGGGAACTGCTTTGGCGGCGTGGAGGGCTTCCTCGCTCATGTGCACGCAAGAGTCGAAGAATCCGATCGACCAGATTGGCGCGAGGAAGGCGAGGATGAAGTTCCACCCTGTTGGCCATGTACTCTCGTTGTCCACGTGCCCAAAGACCCAAGTGCCTGCGTTGAGAGACTCCCCGCGAGTCACTTTGCCGACGGGCAGAGCGATGACTGTAGCGATGATGATGGCAATGTTGATGAAGATGCAGAATGTCTGGATGCGCGGCATGATCGGCCCGGAGAAGACGCTGACGACGGCGTGGACTAGGATGAGACCGACATAGACGCCGTAGATGGTGCCATTGGAGGCGGAATAACTGCCATCGCGGGTGATGGAGACGCAGGCGAGGATCATGAGCGCGAGAGTGTCTGGCAATTAGCAGCTATTCCATCTTAGGGGTCAGTGAGAGCTCACAATCCACAGAGCAGATTCCGCCGATCAGGCCCAGTGTGTTGCTGTAGCCAACCAGAAAGCTCAACACATTTTTATATTTCTTTGCAGCAAAGTAGTGCGTCCACCAGTATAGACCACCAGCTGTGGGCATACCCGATGCCATATCGGCCTATATCGTTATCTTAGCATGACTTGGCATGGACTAGGGGCGAAGAACCACATACCAGAGCCAATCCAACGAAGAAGATCAAGATACTTGCGGTAAACCAGCCCTGCATGATATTAGCTCGTGTCACGCGAGCTGTAACCCCAAATGCAGATACCCACCCAGATCATCCCTGCAGGCCCGGCGGGTAAGGAAAACGAAAGTGTAGATGCGATGGATGGCACTAGACCCATGATACTGAATGCGACGGCGAATATTTGCACGGTGGAATACTGGCGACGGAGTTCCTGTTTGTAGCCCATTTTGGCTGGTATCAGTTAGCATGGGCGTCCCTTACCCTCGTCCATGAGCAGCCGGTCGCAAACTCACCTAGTAGTTGCGAATCTCCGGGATCCGACAGTCCAACTTCCTCCGCGCCAGAGTTGGCCGAGACGGCCGTAGGAGATGCCTTTGCGGCCATTGTCTCGAGATAGGGACGCGCAGACGAGGAAAAGTGAGGTCAAGTTGGATACGAGACGCAACAAGGTTGTCAAAGGAGGCCAAAGGATCAAAAGAGACTGAAGTCGAGGCCAGTCACGGGGGAAGAAAGCAGCAGTTATAGGGATCGGATTGAGTTTGCCAAGCAACGGAGCAAACCTTCTCGATCTTCGACTTCTTCAGTTCGGATCAGTTTGGCTGTCAAGGTCCGTGACACAGACAATCCTGTTGCAAGGAGTGTCAGAAAGAAGAAAGGGAGACGTCCTCCGGGTTGGCGTCAGGACATCCCTGGAACTGCTGGCCATTTTCCTGTGTTCGTGTGCTGGGGTTGCAGGGCGGTCTTCCACGGACCTCTTGTTGCATCTCCTCACTCCGGCTCCCCCCCCCAACATGGGGGGAAGTCGTGGGTCGCCGATCATCGGGATGGCAAGATTGGATTGTGTGCCACTGGGTCTCTGCAAGGCATGGAAATGAGAATGGGCAACGCAAAGGAGTAAGATCGGCTGGCGGGAACCTGATTGACAGTCTGGTAAGCTTGCTGTCATCCCAAAATATCCTCAGATTATCCTTTTCCATCCATCATTCAAAAAGTATGAGTTTAACCTTCTTCTTTGTCTGCTTACCTGCAGCAAATAATGATGATCGATGAGCTGAGCAGTGCTATAGACTGCGCTGGAGTCCGCGCAAAGGAAATCCCGCAGAAGGAAAGGAAAGGGGATCCACCGCCCGGCCAGGAGGTGAGACCAATGGCCATCCCGTATTCCCTGTTCCCTGGAAATGGCTGCTGCTGCACTAAACAGCCACGGCCACTCTAGAACTTCGCTTGTCACTGGCTCGATCGCTGCGCCCGCAGATTGAGTGTCTGCAACTTGCGTCGGATGTATTCTCCTCCATGTGCTAGTTTGATGCTAGTGAAGCGTGCTAACGGCAGAACACGGAAGACTTAATCTGCCACGCACGATATCGGCTCTAGTTTAGTATAGTGTAAGGATAGTGTAGGATTAGTTGTGGTCTGCACGTAATAATACCTAATGTTAGCGAAGGCAAAAGCCGGTCGGAGATGACCCGCGCCCACTTGCTTGGGTCAGAGACTCAATCTTCAGTCATCAGTGCGCGCTTCTACATCTCCACTCGGAGGACGCCGCTGAACCATAAACTAAAACTTAGTTCGTCTGTCTACCAAACTAACTGCTGCGGAACTCTCCCTCCAACTCCTGATAAGTCCACCGAAATTCTGCCTGGTCGTTTGACTTGTTTCAAGCACCATGACGTTCCGTCCAGTGCCGATCGAAGGCTACTAACTATACATCTGTACAAAACACTTTATGATGACTAGGCGTAGAACTAACTTCCAACATAAGACAAAGTAAGAATGAATATCATAATATTGGGATAGATCAACTGCTGCGCTAAGATAAAGTCACCGGAAAAGCAAGTTCCAGATGATGCAAAGCTCCCTGATCGAGATGCAAACTCCATGTCGCCAAACAAGACCCTATTGCAGTCGCTGCTGTTCACATCATTATTACAGGGTATCTATGTGCCACTTTTATCGTACAGTCTATAATACATGAGAAGGGAAGTCGCGGGGTCTTGCCGCCGCCCGTCACATCCTTTTAACGTCCCTCAAGGACCTTGAGAACCAGCTCGTAGGTCCCGATGGTGATCGCGGCCGACGGCACCGTGCGGAGAAGGTGTGCCGTCAATCCTCCATACAGCGCGATCACTCCCTCTTCCTTCAGGATCAACCGCGCGCACTGGAGGATGCTTGTATACTTCTGGCGGCCGTCCGCCATCGGAGCCTGTCGAAGTCGAGTACGGATAACCTGCAAATGTCAGAATATGCTGATGTCGGAGGATTTTCGACGCGTTAACTCACCTCATGAGGATACGCGATCAAACAAGCAAACAGCTTCGACAATCCCGACGCTCCACTCAGAGCAAGGCCCTGCACAAACTTGTTCGAATCCGAGTTCTTATCCAGATTGACCTCCTTAGAGATGAGTCCCTTAATCCGCTCGTACATGGCAAGATGCAGTGTGGTTTCGATTGTGCCCAGGTAGCTGGCCGTCAGACCTCGGTAGAGACCCTTAGGTCCTTCTTGTTGCAGAATCTGCTTGGTGCAATCCAGACTGTTCTTGTACCGGCGAGCACCGGCCTTATCCAACTGAAGACGAGTTTTTACCACCCAGATGGGGTTGGTGGCCGAGCCAGTGGCGATACCAGCGCATGCTGCGGACATGGCATGTACCAGAGTTGTATCCTTGTCGCAGCCCAAGATCTCCGGCAGCAGGCGTTTGCAGTTGCCATATGTGTAGAACTTCACCGCACTGGCCGGAACAACACCCGTCAAGCTGGGTCCAAGACCCTTGAACATACCCCGCCAGCCTTCGACCCGATGGATAGAGAAAAGAATGCCGAACGTCTCCCGGAAATGGCGGATAGAAGTCTTGACGAACGACTGACGGACGTGCGCGTGTGTGGGGATCGACCGGTTCGCGCCTGACGTCTGGTAATAGTCGGTTTGTAAACTGAAATCGCAAAATATGTTAGCATGGAAATCAGCGTTATTTCCTGCGTTGGGGATGAAGGCTTATCCTACCGCGTGCGGAGAACGTCAAGAGGACTCGTAACAATAGCAGTAACCATTCCACCGGTACTATCTCAGATTATCAGTATTGAGCTTCTCAACCATAGCATCGAAAAAACTCACGCGCCAGCAATCAAATGGTTCCATGATCCCAAGCTAGACACGCTGGCCTTCTCTTCGATTGCCTCCGTCGGCAGTGACGGCGGGAGCGGATCTCCAGACGCGCCTCCCGACTGGTGAGCAACAGGCTGCATCTTGCCGGAGGTTAATGAAACAATAAGATATCTTCCAATCTGCTCAGCGGCACTTGAGTAACGGAAGACTCCAGGGGCCAGAGGAGAGATCGGAGAGTGCAGAAGAGATTAGCCTGGCCTGGGCAAAATCAGGAAAGTTTTTTTTGCAGGAATAAAATACCGAGCGGCGAATCCCAGGCGGTCTGGCCTTCCCCGTCCAATCATGTGACCTGCCATCGAGGTCCATGGATATCCACTCTGTGACCCATGTGTGACATAGGTGGTTACCTTTGTAGGTGGAAAGCTTACAAGCATCTTTGTATTCATATTAGAAGTTCTGATATACTGTCCATATTTGGGGTATACGAGAGTAACCCCCAAATCGATGGATTGGCAACTCGCGCGTCAGGAAATGCTGCTTACTCCGGAGCTGTCGGGGGAGGATCTGTCCCCGAATGCCTTAGTCAGGCGGCCCCACCCCGCGACGGCCCCACTGGCTTCCCCATTCAGGTCAGCTTCCAGGGCCTCAGGAACCAAGGGGAGAATGTAACGCTGTACGGAGTAGAGAGTTGCGGCCTTTCTGACTTTCACGAACTCATGGAGAGTAGTTGGGACAACGAGGTACACCAAGTCTGGAGGACATACATTGTTGGTGACCATATTTTCCTACTGGACTACGGGGAAGTAACAGTATATGGCGTCAATAGAAAGGTACTGTTACTGCTCAAACTTGCAGAACAGGGGGGAACTCGTGGTTATTAGAAGTACCTAGCCAATTATGTTTGGCCAATTTTGCTTGAATACGTACGAGAAAAGATGTGCACGAGGAGTAAGAAACGACCAGTATTACCCGATTAGATTCATTGTCATTGATAATTAGTGGGATTAGTAGTATGAGATACGATACATTTGTGAAATATCCCTAAGTAGTTTAACCCTTAGACTTGCTGGTAGAATGCATATTGACAAATGGAATGAAAGAAGGTCGAGCAGCGACAGCTAGACAGCATTTCACGATTCAACAATCTGTCCACCCATAAGCTGGATGCACCAGCTTCATGACAGTCAAGATATGTTCATAGCTCAGCTTAGTTCCCTGATAGCGAGCGAGGGTCCTGGCAGATTTCACCAACTTTTTGATCTGTCTTCCATTCAGTTCGCGACCCGCTAGGTCACGAAGTTCATACTTTGAGAATAATTCCGTCTCCGTCTCTCCGAGTAAGCATTTCCAGATATGGCGTCGGGACTCATCATCAAGTTCCGGATAATGGATGTGGACATCGATACGACTTTCAAAAGCAGGGTCTATGGTCTCAACGCCATTACTAGCCAGGATCAATACTCCCTAGTGGGAGTTGTGTTAGGACTATTTTTGAGCATTGTATTGGGTACATACCTCGTAGTTTTCCAGCAGTGTTAATAGTACATACGATAGCTCGTTGTTCTGGAGATAGCTGGGGTTGCGTTCTTGTATAAAAATATCTGCATTGTCTATAAGCAGCACAGCACCCCATTTGTCAACCATACGAAGGGCAAATTGCAGACTCTCTTCAGCTTGCACAGCAGTCGTTCCCAGCGCTCTCGCGCTCAGAGCGTAAAGCGGCACTTTCATCACTTCGGCGACACATTCGGCCGTAAGGGTCTTGCCAACACCTGGAGGGCCGTGGAGGAGCATGGTGACACTGCGGCCTTTCCCTTGAGGTACATTGTCAAAGAATTCAGATTTAGCTGACTGAGAACTGGTGAATGCAAGAACTAGGTCCTTCAGATCTTCGTTTATGCCATCCGGCAGGACCAAAGAGGTAAAGGGTCGCGGGTTCCAGATAATATCCGACACGCCCATGACAAAGAACTCCATCCATTTTCTGTCATCGAGAGAGTAGCCGCGCAAAATTGGAGTTGCGATAAGAAATTGTTCATCAGCCAGTGACTCGGATATGTCTTCTAATTCCCTTGAGAACTTGTCTGAATGGAACGCGAGATACGTTTCCGTGTCAATCATAACCCGACTGCTTATGTTATGACCAACCTCTCGGCCCATATACGTTACCAGACCTAATCCATTGTATAGTTTATAGTGACAACCTTTGTGCTGATACCAGCGCTGTCCACGAAGGATCAGGTTCTTGCGCAGTGCGTGCTTGTCGTTATGGTACTCGAAAGGGATCACTGGCAACATCATAATAGACGTGGTGCCTTCAAAGGCTGGGATGGAGAGGTTGTACTTCCTGTACCCAAATACGTGGCCATTATAATCAATGTAGATTGCATAGATTTTGAATTCTTTCGAATCTGAAGTGTATTCGCCACCTTCAAGCCGAAAGGCGCGCTCGCAGCCGTTCACGATGCTTAAAATTATATGACCTGGCTCGAAGATGGTCCAGAGCATGTTGAAAGTGATCACGTTATAGAGGACAAGGTCGTCCTTGCGAGTGATGACATCGTTGAGTTCTGTTGACAGGACTTCGTAGAGTGAGTCCACATGGGCCTTAGCTTCTGCTTCGGATTCCTTGCCTCGAGCTTCAGCAAATATTTCCATCTGTGGATAAATGGTTCGAAGGGCTTGCTGAATTCTACGCCCTCGTGTGACATGGAAATGCCAGGGTAGCCATCCATGACCATTGCCAAGACCCGTTTGAGGTGAACACTTTGCACAACTATCGAGCTGAACTCAAGCCCCCCATTATCGCATTTCACCTTCCGCACGAGGAACGCGTGCTGAAGGGACACGGGTGTCTGCTCTGGCTCCACGGTACTGATCTGGGGTTCTTTAGTCAATGGATTGTTTTCGTTATCATCAGGATTCATATGATAGAAGTTGAGAGTCATGGAGACAGAGCCAGCTGGAGAAAATTGCACACTTTTGCTGTCATCCGCTGGTACGGTCATTAGCTCAAGCCTAACTCTTCCTGCCCAGATGAGAAGTCTTATCTGTTGCTTGGGAGGATCTGGACATGCGCAGCGTATGCACTGGTGTGTAATACTCACAGATAGTATCTTGCTTATGTATACCTATCACCGTTTGATCTGGATCAAAGAGACGGGATGGAAAAGGAGGGAGACGTAGAGGTGGCGGTCTTCTACCTTTGCTGACTCTGTTCATTCTTCTCATAGGCATCGTGCGTAATGATGAACGTGGTGATTGAGGGGGAGGAGGAGAAGTTTCGCTGAGTGGCCTGCAAGTAAAGTAAGGTAGTGAGCCAGACAGTCGATAAAAAGATAGCTGCGGGTTTTGTAGCCGATTGAGCACAAACACGGAGCCACAATTGCTGGGTAGAACCTGAACTAGCCTATGACTAATTAATTATCAACTCTATTAAGAGTTGCATAATGTCATACTCTGAACCATAATTGAGCACCTCTTGATCTCAAGTCAGAGGAACAAGGAATTTCCCTAACTGTTCAACCAAAATATACAGAGGGTCAAGTAAAATACCCACTTATCATCATTCACTACACCACCTAGCTGTGGTTCCAAAGTGTGGGAGGAGCCAACGAAGGAGACTGAAGTATCACAGGTAAGAAAAACAGGCTAGAGTCAAACATGCCCAGGATGAGACTGCCTTGACATCAAATTCTACTAGACAGTTACCTGAATGTGGCTCTTTCTGAAAGCTCGAGAGTGGTCCCCATGCAATAATTGATCACTTTCGTGACGTGAAATGTTCTCCTTGTCCACCTTCGTCTGACAGCTTAGAGCAAGATCTTATATCATATGAAAATATAGTAGTCGGATCTTTCAACGATTAGCTACGGCCCATATGATGCGCTTCCTGACCATTGGATGGCTCGAGATAAACTACAAGGCTAACTAGTTTAGTTAAAGGAGATGCCGATAGTATTGTACAATCTTTACCTGGTGGAATCTGAGGCGTGTATCGTCTATGACACGCCGAACATTTACACGTCACACAGCTAGTTCTATCCTAGCCACATGCTCTCCTGCTCACTTTCGTCTCCCCTGATACTGCGCCACCATTCACTTTGTCGTATGAGTTCACCATCTTCACCACCCAAAAGCGCCCAATATTTCTTCAAAAACCACACCTTTCCCTCCCAACTACGGACATCCCACGGCGTACCTGTCGATACATACCCAGTGGAGACTTGCCGATCCCTCTTCCCAATGCCAGCACCTCCCCAGCATACTAAGCCAGAAAGCATATCGTCGAAGAACTCATCCTCATCTATATCGTGCTGGCGAGTGATGAGGTTTCTCCGTAGCGTTCGGAAAGGTAGAATGTCTATGATCGGATGGTGCTCGATAATGATTTGTTCTTGAGATGGCCTCAGATCTGGCTTTAAAGTCTTGAATGTTTCTTGTACAGTGCGGATCAAATTGCTCCTGGCTGTATCGTCTACCACCACTGCGCCGGGCCGAAAGAATGGCGAGGGAGATTGGTCAGCACATAAACCTTCCTCCGTAATGCCTAAATGCCTAACAAGATCAAGAATTGCAGCGATGGTGCAAACTCTATCAATCCGGAGGCTATTGATATATGGATCGGCTGTAGTTGTATTGGCGCCGAACCTGAATACCCTGACTTCATTACGGCCGAGAAGGTCTGGACCGTCTGTCTGTATTCGGAAATGCGGACTGGTACAGCCGCAGTCAATGGCGGTTGTCCAGTACAGCTCCAGGCTATCACTGGGCTTATCGCGAACGAGAAGAGAAGGATCCACACATGATGGAGGATCCCAGGCACTTATTGTTGAGGGAGATTCATCAGAATATAGATAGGGTGTTGTGGTGGAGTCTGATGTGTATAATGTCGGTGGACTCCCATCTGAGATTGTGATAAGTTGCTGGCAATTACTAAGGGTTGCCACAGATGTACACGGAACCGATACATCCGAAGCATCATAGAGTGGAAGGGTCTTTGGAACGATAGTACTTGAAGCGATGGGTAGGCCAGGCGCTGTGATCGCCCCACTTGGTTGTATGCCCGAAGCCGGTGTGCTTTCAATGGCTGAGGTCTGTCCCGCAGACTCTGCCAGCGCTTCGAGACGACCTAAGCGCTCACGTAGCTTTTCTCCTAAACGGGGACGTAATCAGTAATCTTGCGAGCTAATCTCCGATGTGGTGACTCCTGATGAGACCCGCACTTACGGTATCTGCGTTGGGCTTGAATGTTCTGTTGCCGCCTCTTCTCCGGGTCACGGCGCACAGGTTTTCGCTTTTTCTCCCCCACACTTTCGCTATGTTGGATTGCTCGCGTTTGAGGTGGCATTATTAACAGCCCCAACAGTGAGACTAACTACTGAGAGAAACACTAGGATTGAGAAAGTAAGCCAAGCAGAGCGTTAGGAACTTCCCAGATGGAGGCAAGAGATGTACGAGTGCATGGCTGATGTCAGCCACTGGCAACTGTGCGCTAGGCTATTTCGGGATTGGTCCGTCGGCCGAGCCTATATTGACACCTCAGGCCTCTAAGCGGTTTCATAGCATGCCATTTCTTACATTCATTCTGATGACTCTTTCTGTCCCACAACGTACCACAAAAGCACCATAGAAGATGCGATGTCATGATCCGGCAATTGGGATCCTTGACAGCTATAACGTACTACATTCGAGGATTCAAGTTTCCATTGCAAACAAATTACAAATCATTGCAAATTGCCTCTTGCCTTCATTGATCGCTAGATAAACAATTTTCCTCAACTCTGCGAGACGATGAAGAATTTCCCACCATCGTGCCGACTTGCCGCAATAAGTTAGGTCTTGGACTTTGACTTGGCCTTAGCGAGCATCTCTCCGTAGTTATGATGCTCGTACAAAGGCTCTTCGCTTTTACGTGACAATGGCTGTGGGAGAGTATGGGGGTCTATCTTTCCGCCCTGAAACATGACCACAATATCCGAGCCACCAAACTCAAAATGTGAGATTTCATCACCTTTGTTGATGGTGGCACCTGGCTTGAGGTCGTCCCGGACTACCACAGACGAGACTTGTGCCATACCGATCGGTAAAACAGCAACCGTACCTATCTTGTCGTTCTCTATGATGATGATCCCTCGTGCTTGCAGGAACTGGTATCCTTCTTTATCCGTCGCCTCCGCTCCCCGATAAACAGGCCCCGAGGAGTATATAGGACGCATAGGGCGTTTTGGCATCAACGACCGACTATCAGGCTGATATTCAACATCTAAATAGGCCGCGCCATCAATCGTGTCGATGACTTTGATAGTACCTCCCACCGGCGCGTGCTGGCGATGATAGTCAAATGAGTTCAGAAAAGAATGCAACCAGATCCCGCCCTTGAAAGACTCGCCGTAGTCGGACTTGTATGGCCCAAGGAGATCACCTATATGCCATGGTAGACCTTTCAGCTCGACCATCGACTCGTCAGTGATATCCCAGTAACCGGAGAAGGTTGAATCTGCAGGGAAAATGACAATGTTGTCGTCACCTTCGCCATCAATGGGCCGTGCGCCGTCCTTGAGATGACGACAGAAGAACTGATTGAAATTAGTCCATTTCCCCCCTTCGGTTTTGGATTCATCTGCCTCGAATACATGGAAGCTTGGAGCATTCCAGAATGAAGTGAGTGAAGCTTCGTTCAGTGACTCTGGTCGATCCATGTGGCTTCCAACTTCCTTGGCAAACTTCACCATCCATTGGGAGAGCTCGGACAGATCCTGCCCCACAGATTCAGGCCTAATCGCAGTTTGACAATCCTTGAGCGGGACTTGGTCGAACACGAAATAGAAGATGCACAAGATATAGTAGATGTCTCTACCCTTTGCTGACTCGGTGGGTATCCAACCATCGACCATCCAGGTTGCAAAGTTTAGAAATCCTTTAGCCGAGGTGAGCCCGTAGCTTTCCATCTCAACGATCCTGAACTGAAGCGCAGATTGGATAGCTTGCTCGAGGGCCTCCATTCCAGAAGCATAAGGAAACGATTTGTCGAGTAATTGGAGAAGTTCGTTAACGATGGGTGCGTAACGCTTCTTGGAACTCGAAGCACTGGACACAGTGCCGGTTGAGCGACTAGGCAAGTTGATGATTCCGAACATGATGACTGAAACGCTGATAATGACTGATAAGAGGGAGCAAGACGAGAGTATCTGTGTTGTCAGGTCGCACTTGTGCTAAAATATAAACCCATCCCTTAAGGATTAGACATAGCAGAGGACAAGCCACAATGACGTGACGGTGAGATGCGCAAAGTCATTATTGAAACTGGCACGACCTCTGATAATCATTCAGTGGCTTGTAATGCAGCATATTGATGTGTGCACAAGGCCTGGACCCTTGCGTGGTACTCTTAGAAAGTCCAGCCTCTCGCATACTTGATGTCGGACATTTGATCCGGTCAAAGTATAGCGCAGTCAAGATGAAACCCTGAGTGTTAAAAGGGCTGTGACTGCAGCGCCTGTATGTAAACCCGAACTGACATCAACTTTGCAATGTGGCGTTCCCCTCTGCTGCTCTGATACAGTCTGTGATACAAAAGGGCCTGCTCTCTGGTCATCTGTAACACTCTGTTTACATGATGCCGGAGAGCAAAGGTCTTCTAGATGGTAGAGGGATCACGTCGTATAGTACAGGACGTGGCCATATAACCATGTCATGTTACACCTAACTACCCTCGCCATCCATGAAGGTGGCCAATTGCCTTTTACTTCTGTTCTAAGAGACTCAACATACTATACGCTCAATCTCTGGAACATTAGCACACTATTGATATAGTAGTGATACTACTCGGTCGATGTGGACAATAACTTTATATTCATTTGCGAGACTGGTTAGTGTACCCTTGAGTAATGGAATGATTTCTCACATTCAGATTTCGCCTCTTACATAATTCTTGATCATTATTCATGTAAAGTAGATACAGCCACGAACAATCACATAGAGTGAATAATATAGTGACTTTCGAGTACGAAGTTGTTAAAGAGAGCATTGAGGAACAGGAGAGCACGTGACGTGAAATGGAGCACAGCTGGTCACCTGATTTAAAGGCAGCTTCATGTGAACAACTCAATTCCTCCTGTAACCCACCACTTTATGATTTCATCGTACCTAATATTTTTCGTCATTCGATCATCAGATTACGGCAAAGTCCCGATTGTCTCGGTAAAGACTCATCGGGTGCACAGGTCCCGGATCAGTCCAGGCTGTTTTAATCAGCCGATCCTAAACGGACTAGATGCGTGCCTGGCCATTAGTTGAACCATCAATTGTTCCTGACATGCACGGTCTGTGGAGACTGTCCGTGATTGCTTGTTAACTGCTGACCGTGGATCATAGACATGAAGAGGAACATTGTGAAGAGACGCTGGCTGCAAAAGCCTAGACCGAACCGTTGGAACCAGATGCGTCATCGACTCTGTTCTCGGCCAGATAAGGTTACATATGCCTTGCCGGCCACGCCAGCAGGCCCTACTCACAATCTAGCCCTCCATGACGTCTGGCCGATGGAGAGAAGAGACCTTTGCCCCCGTGGCGGGCTTATTCACTCGTTGGATCTTGCTATTATTGTTAGCAGATCACACTGAACAATACTGTTGTTAACCGGTCTCTTCCCTCTGAACAGGAAATCTCGCTAAGCGGGGCTGGTGCATTCAATGGGGGTGTCCTGAGCGACCTTTCCCATTGGGCTTGAAGGGAAAATCGCCTTTCTCGCTGAATGGTGAATCGCACACAGTGGTAGGAGACGTTCCGTACATACTGTTACACTGTGGTGTTAGATGCCTTTGATAGGCCAACAGGGACACCACTACCCAATTCTCATCACTCATACTTCGACATATTGCCCTCTGAACCTGCATCACACCAGGAAGCGGGAATAATGTCCGAAGGAAGGCGCAGCAACGAATCAAGCTCCAGCTCCTTGATCAGTTATCACAGCGTCGAGAGACCGAATACGGACTTCGACGTTGAGAAAAGACATGATCTTACCCCCGAAAGCGATTCCTCACCCAGTGGTCCCCGTACTCATCGCGTTCACTTCGGGGCGGATCGCAGGTTCGAATATGGGATCTGGGATGCAGACGAACGCGTTCTCTCACCCGGTACATCTCATCTTCGACGCCGTTCATCTACTCAAGCATCAGTCGACATAACCGATGTATCCCACAGAAGCCCACAGTTTACCAGTACAAATGGCCGGGAGGAAGAGAATGAGAAGAAGCAGCAACAGACGACGACGAGTGAAAAAAGACCCAGACGCGAACGTCTGAAAGCGTTCAGAGACTCGATCAAGGAAAAAGCAGCGAGCCTTGCTGCTCGTCTCGGTCGTCCAGACGATATTAACGAAGATGACCTACAGCCCATCGACCAGCGACGTCGCGATGCCGAAACTGACCTGCATCTCAGAGAAGAAGATCAAAACCAAACCTGTAGCACCGAGGCGCATCGAATAGTCCGCGACCTGGCACATGAAGCTTCCGGCCGTCGTCCGAGTGCCCGTAGGGACTCGGCTTTGCATCGTGCCGCTGGAGTTTCTGCCCAGGATGAGGATTCTGGAAACGAAGCTATACCTCGCCGCAGCTCGGGATCGGGAGGCGTTCTATCTCAGCTGCTCAGACTTAGCGGCGGCTGGGATCAATTTCACAAAGGAGCGCGCGGGCTCCACCTCGCCAGTGACACGTTCTACCCCTTCGGTGGAAGCACCCCGGGCACCACGACTCCACGAAAGGAAAAAGTCCGATGGTACAAGAAGCCTGGCAACGTATCAACATCAACCTTAGTTGGAGGCGGCAGTGCTAGCGGTGCAAGTACACCTGTTACCGGCGAGCTTCTAAGCGCTGCATCTAGACGACGAGACAAGAGTCGAAGGCACAGCATGAGACTAGAAGAGGAGATCCAAGTAACTCTTCAGATTGCCGAGATCATTGCCCGACAGAGATACATCATGCAACTGTGCAAGGCGTTAATGAGATTCGGAGCTCCAACCCATCGCCTCGAGGAATACATGCGCATGACGGCCAAAGTACTAGACGTTGACAGCCAGTTCCTCTACGTCCCGGGATGCATGATCATGTCATTCGATGACTCCAGCACTCGAACCACAGAAGTCAAACTAGTCCGTGTCGTTCAAGGTGTTGATCTAGGACGACTATCAGATACCCACAACGTATACAAGAATGTCATCCACGACATGATAGGGATCGAAGAAGCGGGAAATGAACTAGAAGAGCTAATGGCAAAGAAGCCCCGATTCAACCGATACTTCATCGTCCTAATCTACGGCCTAGCCACTGCCATGGTCGGCCCATTCGCCTTCGACGCACGACCAATCGACATGCCAATAATCTTCTTCAACGGCTGTCTTCTAGGCTGCATGCAGCACATCCTCGCCCCACGATCAGTCCTATACTCCAACGTCTTCGAAGTGACCGCCGCCGTCCTCACCTCCTTCCTCGCCCGCGCCTTCGGCAGTATCAAATCATCCTCCTTCACCAACGGATCCAATGACTACATATTCTGCTTCTCCGCAATCGCCCAATCCTCCATCGCACTAATCCTTCCCGGTTACACCGTCCTGTGCAGCAGCCTAGAGCTCCAATCCCAACAAATCGTCGCCGGCTCCATCCGCATGGTCTACGCCATCATCTACTCCCTCTTCCTCGGCTACGGCGTCACCGTCGGCACAACCATCTACGGCCTAATCGACAAAAACGCCACCTCAAACCTAACCTGCCCAACAACCGGAGGCTTCGGCAACGCCTACGCACAACGATTCCCCTTCGTCGCCGCCTTCTCCCTTTGCCTCCTAATCGTCAACCAAGGAAAATGGAAACAGTCCCCAATCATGATCGCCATCTCCGTAGCCGGCTACGTAACCAACTACTTCGTCAGCTCGCGTCTAGGAAATAACTCCCAAGTAGCCAACACCGTCGGCGCCTTCACCGTGGGAGTGATGGGCAACCTCTACAGCCGTCTCTGGCACGGACACGCTGCTGCAGCTATTCTACCGGCGATCTTCGTCCTCGTGCCCTCCGGTCTAGCGGCAACAGGGAACCTGATTGCAGGCGTCGACACGGCAGATGAGATCCGATCGAATGTTACGAAGAATGCAACGGGGAGTTCGACTACATCTAGCTCGTCGTCTAGCGATATGTCAACGAATATTTTGGGCTTTGGTATGATCCAAGTCGCCATTGGCATTACGGTTGGGTTATTTGTCGCTGCGTTGGTGGTTTATCCGTTTGGAAAGCGGAGAAGTGGGCTTTTTAGCTTCTAGGAGTGGGACTGAGAGGGGGTGGGGGGAGTGGATTGTTCGATCGCATTTTATGTTTTGCAGCGCACAACCTTGCTTGCAGTTGGAGGGGAACCGGTAATTTGCATTTAGCGGGCGAGATTTATTTTGATGAAAAGCAGCGAGCGTTCAGAATGGTTACAGCATCGCATGTTAGTCAAGTATTGTTATAAAGCATTTTTAGTAGTAGATTAGTAACTAAACTAGAAAACCGATTGACATAATGACAATAATAGAATCAAATTAACATATTTAAACCATTACTCCGTCTATCTACAATACGATACAAGTGCAAGATAATTATGGAAGAAAACATTAGTACTGTCAATTATATCTAACCGTCATCATGACTCGTGTTCCGGCACGATCATCTTCTCAATTCATCTCTGGTCTTCTCTTCTTGCTGTATGCCAAAGCAACAATCACGCTGTCTCATGCATATATACAACAGAACAAACACACACTCATCACGGCATCACACATATAAAATAGACGCAAACGCAAATGCATGCAATGCAATGCAGAACATATCAATAATCTACCCATCTTTCCAAGCGGTATACCCGACCATCTCTAATAAATACCGTTCCCGACCGATCATCACCTGCCGGCCCTCAATATACAAGAAATTCCGAACAAGGCCCAGAAGCCGGGGATGTTCGACCTCAGGCAGACTGCGCAGGTCCTCCAATGTCAGAGTGATCTCCGTATAGTCCGCGCAGAGGCGGAACAAATTATGATGAAAGTCCTTGGGCACGGAGAAATGGGTCGCGAGCCAGCCGCAGAGGGAATCGAAAAGGTGGTTGTGGACGATGAACATAAGCAGGGAGTCGAGGGAGGACCAGTCGACGTCGATCATGGCAGTCGGATGTGGCGTGAGGGCATTTTGCATAGCAATGACGGACGCCAGCGTGTCAAGGAGGACGCTGTCCTTCTCTTCGTCGTCTTCTTTGCTTGCTTTAAAATCGGGGATCAAGCCCCAGTGGGGCTGCTCGGTCACTATGGGGCGGTCGTAGCCCAGCTGGACTCGCCAGAACTGGTTGCAGCCTACTTCGAAGATCATGCAGGGGATGAGCATTACGTATCCCCACCATCGTTTGCAGGTGAGCATGGAGGCTGCTCCTGCGACGAGGCCTGTGATTCCGCTAACGAGCGAATGTAATTGAAAGTATTGGAAGCGACGGTGGAGGCGATCGCGAAAGGGTGTAATGGCGGAGGAACGCGTGCATGCACGGTCGTGTCCGTAGAACCGCCAGATGAGGTAGAGAGACCAGACGGCGTTGAGGACGCCGTATGCTGCAGCAAAGGAGTTGCCCACAAAGCCGGACAGAAGATTACTGATATAATAGATATGGCGATGAGCCCCCCAGATAGCCATTATTGTACCGGTGCCGACAAGAAGGGCACCGATGCCCAGGAAAACATCCATAACGACGCGATCGATGAGTTCGGAGCCCAATTCGCGAAAACTGACGCCAAGGCGGCGGTCAATGAGCCGGACAGAGGCCTGATCGACGGGGACGGAAGGGGGTAGGTTGAGGTACTGCAGTCGCAGAGCGTGGAGGTATTGTCGTTCTTGCTGCAGAATGCGGACATTTCGCCAACTGAGGATGCCATCCCAAAGGGCAGCGACACTGATGAGCAAGGCTAATGGGCCCCCGATGGCCATGAAGATAACCGCATAGAGCGGGACCGGCACATCGTTCCACACATTAGCGGCGAAATCACCCGCGTTGGCGAACTCTAGAAAGCCCACGCTGGCCAGTAAACTGTTCCGGTACCACGCCGGGCTGATGAGACGAAGTTTCCGTCGCTGGCGGACTAAAGTAACCCGTGAGGGAGGTAAGTCACTCGTTTCATGCTCCTCATGATGGAAGGCCTTGTCTGAGACCAGAGGAGATAAGGTGTCCTGCGAGGGGGGCATTGGGTGGTTGGGTCAGGAGACCAGAGGAGACAAGCTCCTCTCGCGGGTGTGGGACCGGCAGGATGGAAGGTTTGGACACCAAACGCGACCGAAGGAAGAGAGGGAAGGGGAAGGGGAAGAAGAGGGAAAGAAGGGAGGAGAAGAGAAGAGAGGGAGAAGAGGAAAGGAGGAGAGGAGAGGGGGAGAAATCCGGATGGGAAGAAGAGGGGAGGGAGAGGAATGGAATGGTGGTGGAACGAGTCAATCCGGTCGGTCGGTCGGCGAGCGAGTCAAGCAAAGCAAAGCAAAGTCCAAGCACAAGCCAAAAAGGCACCAGAAAAGCAAACGCAAAGCAAGAAAAAAAGCAGCTCCACGGAAGGCGCGGGATAGCCCGGCCCTGATTGGCTCATGGCCCGAAGGAGTTCCGCACTTGGCGTGCCTTATAGGGCTGAGCCAAGTCGCGTTTCCTCCCCGGTATCTTACACTGTTTATGTTATTCTCTTTTTGTGTTTCGTTGTATTTCGGGACTGGGTCAGATCGTGATTATTGTAGGATACATAGGAAGGAAACAGGTGGGTTGAGCCCTCTTCGAAGAGAGGATTGGCATGGCAGGGTGAATTGGAAGGAGTCAAGGGAGAAGCGAGGAGACGGGCAGCCAGGCATCCGTCCTTTCCGTTTCTGTTTGAGGACGACAGTGAAAATTCTTCCATCATATCCTTATCTTTCTTTCTCCACCTCTAAGATATGCACACAACAAAATACCAGTGCCCCAAAGCGTCATGCAAACTAAATGGCTACTGCTGAGATACAACGCCGGAAGATTTTCGTCTGTCCTAATACCATCATAGCTATGTAGTCTGCCATAAAGAATTACGTTCCAAGCTTTGGTAAATATATCCACTAGTATGTACAACCCCACCAAAGATGCCTAGGCAAAAACTCCTTTCCCTTCGATCAAACGGGCCATATCAGCGAGTCTCTTGGTAGCCACCAGCTCGGTTACTGGCAGTGCAACCTTGTATTGCTCCTTGATTGCCCGCTGCAAAATTACAATTAGCAGAGAGGTACCCCCAACGTGAAAGAAGTCAGAGCTGGGAGTAAGGGTCGGAGAGGCAGAGGCAGAAAGGACCCCTTGCCAGACCTCGGCAAGACTGGCCTCCATCGATGTCATTTCTCGGCTAGTCGGGGTCACCACGTTAGATTCATCAATAGGCAGCTGGCAGATGGCAGTTCGGTCCTTTTTGGAGTGAGAATCCAATGGTAGTTCCTCCAAGACTACAATAGATGAAGGGACCATATAGTCTGGTACAGGTAGACGCATCAGGAGATTGTCCAACAGCATTTCCTGGGAGTTGTTCTGTGGTATCTGATTGGAAAAGACAACATGAGCATCCAAGAATTGGTCCCCATCCTGTTCTCTCAAGGTGACCATGGCATTGGTCAACAGCCCACCAGAAGCCTCAATCAAAGCGTTCCCGATCTCTTCTAAGTCAGCCTGAAAGCCGCGAACATTAACCTGAGTGTCGCCATTCGAACGGCCCACCAGGACAAGGGCACCGTCCTTCCGCAAGTAGCCACAATCTCCAGTCCGATAAACGGTCGTCCAATTGTTTGCAGTGAAGTTGCTGTTCAGGTGAGAAAAGGGAGACTCAATAAATCTCTCCTTTATTGCAGTATCCATGTTGCCATAGCTATCAGCAATACCGGCACCGCCGATGAGAACCTCGCCTGGGACACCAATCGGGAGAGGCCGCAGCTCGGCGTCGACGATGTAGATCGCCTGGTTGGGTGAAGCATATCCTGAGGCGAGGGGTGACTCCACGTCTGACTTGTGATACTCAATTAGACCCTGCCAGGTAGAACCGAAACACGTTCCAGCCGAACGGTAAAGGTTGAGAAGCTGGAGGGATGGGCTGTCTAGCGCACGGAAACCTTGCAAGAGCTTTCGAGGGATCGCTTCACCTGCCATAGCAGCAAGTGTCCAGTGGGGGCATTCCTGAAGTTGTTTAGCCGCAAAACTGAGCCAACTCTGGTACTCTGATGGGGTCGCCAGCGTGTAACTAATATTCTCCTCCTGGATTGTTTTAGCAATTTCCATGGCATCTCCCCGCTTATCTGCGGGCAGAATGACCAAGCTTCCTCCGTTGCACAGGGCATCGAAAGTTTGGGAGAGCGACAGGTCTATGGAATCGACAGAGTGCTGAAGGGCGATCAGCGGTCTCTCATCAGAGAAGTTATACTGCATTGAAGAGGCTTCAAGTTGGGGAATCATGTTTGCATGCTTGATTAGCGTTCCCTTGCCCTCAGAGGTAGAGCTGCCCGTGAACAGGATGATCGCGGCCGTGTTGCCATCCGCCAGATTGGGTGTGCGCTGAATGTGCTTACGCGTGGCCACCGAAGAGATATCCAACACCCTAGGCCTGGCGAGAACCAGGGACTTGGCCGTACTGAGCGTAGAGCGGTCAACAAGTAACAACAACGGTTTAGCCACTTGAAGTACACCCTCTATCTGATCGATAGAGACGCGACCATCGAGTGGCATGTAGGTCGCACCAGCACGGAAGACAGCTAGCATTGAGCAAACCGAGTCAACACCGGGCTCCTGCATAACACCAATAACAGAACCCTTCGGAGTTCCAGCCTGGTGCAAAGCCGCGATAATCGAGTCAATGCGGCGGCCCATGTCGTTGTAGGTCAAGCTCTTGCCACTGCCATCCTTGACAGCAAGACTGTTCCCATTTTGCTGGATCATTTGGTCAATCCTATGAACAACAGTCTGTGGCCATTGCATAGGTGCTAGAGGTCCTGTAGGAGATGGTTAGTCCCAATCAAGAGACAGAGAAGAGGGGCTTGCATACCTGTAGCAAATTCCAGTGACAGCGAGATATCGTCGGGTGACCACAGCTCAGCAGCGGCTAAAGGTACTCCTGGGTCTGTAGTGAGCTGGTCTATTAGGTTAACAAAGCATCTAACAAGAAGATCAGCATGCTCCTGGCCGTATAGTCCTTGTTGCACCTCCAATGCAACCACAGATTCACCCTCAGGGCTTTCGGTAATATCCAAGTAAAGATCAAGTCCGGTGCCAGGGTTCAAGACTTTCTCGGGGTTACAGGTAGCATTGCACCATGTAACTTGGTGCTTTTCAACCCTATGCTTTATCATCACCTGGAACACAGGTGGGACATTAGCCGAGCGGTCCAACTTGAGATCATTGAGCAGGACATCAAGTGGCACGGCCGAATGTTCTAGAACGCCACTTATTGCATCGCGCACTGTCTCAAGATATGGGCCAAGTTTGGTATGGATGCCTGGCCTGTCTAGCGGGACTGGCAACGCATTCAGCGCGCACCCCATGGGTTTCCCTAGATCCAGGTCGCTACGGTCCGCATCAAAGCCAATCAATACCCTCTGGATGTTAGGTAACAGGCGGAACAGAAGCGCGCCCAAGACTGCAGTATAGAGGTCAGATGTAGTTGAATGGCTCTCCTGTGAGACCTGTTCAATCAAAGAAGCTTGCTTCGGCGAGAGACGCATATCCGATCGATGAGTGCTAAATTCTAGTGTCAATGTATATCCATATTTTGCACAAGTGATACTTACCGGTATTGAGTCTGCACTGGCCTGACTGGTACTTTGGCAAAAGAAAAGAGATCAAGTTGGGGGTTGCTCCCTTTGATAATGGTTTCGAAGTAGTTAATATGCTTCTGAAAACGTCCTTCGTTGTAGTCCTGGAGCTGCTTTTCTGCCATGATAGAGTATTGAGATTCTTTGGGAAGTCCAGGTAGACTCTGCCCCAGATAGGCTTGATTCATCTCGTCGAGCAAAAGCGAGGCACTGTTGCCATCGAAGGTGATTGGATGGTTGCCAATAATCAAATAGTGTTCTCTATTAGACAAAGTGAGAAGACGAGTTCTCACAAGCTGCCAGTCACCTAGGTCATAGGCATGGTGTCGCATGGCATCTAACTCCCGGTAAACTTCCTCCTTGTTGGTAATCCGCTTGGTCTCAAGTTGGATGATGGACCGCGACAGGATTCCCTGCATGGGAACGTCATGGTTTGTTCCTCCCCAGAAAAATCGCGTGCGCATTGCCTCATGACGGTCTGCAACCGTAGTGACCGCCTTTCTGAGTCGGGGCAGGTCTAGAGAACCTTCGATGTACCAGCAATGGCCCATGTTAAGAGCAGAAGGATCTTGAAGAGCATGTTGCATAAACCAGAAACGGGCCTGGTCGAAAGACATTGGCATGACTTTCTCAGTAGCCGACTGAATGGTGGACTGGCGCAGATCCATATCAATCAAAGGTTCACATGTGCTTTCCTCTTCGGGCTCAGTGTCACTGGTTCCATAATGGGATGATGTGCCCACACTATCACTGTCGGAACTAGAAGATATGGAGTTCTTGCGGTCTGATCGAATGATGCCTGACTCGGCACCGGGTGGCTTCGACTCCGGACCAGGGGTGAGAGCTGCAAGTGCTCTTGGCTTCCCAGGCCCTGACTGACCCTCTCCAGACGGGCTGTTGAGGTTGATCATAGTCTCGGAGATGTCATGGAGGCACCCCTTAACCAAAGCGACGATAGAAGATCCACCAAGGATCTTAATGATCGGCATGTCAATCTCCAGTTCGCGACCAAACCATTCGCGAATGTCAATGGCAACCAAGGAATCGATGCCTTGCCCAACTAGACTGCTGTTGACATCGAGTGGCTGCTCAGTGGACATGCGGAGCAGAGTTTTCAGTCGTGTGGTAAACGCATCTAAGGAAAACGTCAGTCGGACTTTCCTCGTCCAGTACAACCAAGTAGCAGTATTCTTACCAAGCACGATTCCTTCAGCCTCCTCTACAGAGCCAGCCTGTTGTAACAGGCTTTTGACAGATGACTTAGATCCCGAGGCGCCCACTCGACCGTTCACACGCTCAATGTTAATGTGGCTGAAACGAATATCACTCCTGTAGCGGTTGCGAACCACGTCAGCCAAAACCATTGGCACACAACCGGTAATCAGTTCGGCGCGGTCATGACACTTTGCCTGACCCTCCTTGATGGCCTCGGCAAAGGCATAGCGAAAGTCTATTTCTGACATGAGGGAGACACCCATGGACCGGAACATGTCGCCCATGGTTTCATCGGAGCGATCAATGTACCCCAAACCCATGAGGGCACTGTAGGCAATAACGGAGCCAGCAACACCACGCTTACGCCTATTGAGCGCTAGGCCAGCCATGTACATATTGGCCGCGGCGTAAGTGCTTTGCCCCGTGTTACCGACGACGCCCGAAATAGAGGAGAACATGATGAAGAAATCTAGAGGAGTTTCATAAAAAGCGTCATCGAGGAGTTTGCTTCCAAGGACCTTCGGTCTCATTGACCGTTCCATGCTCTCGAATTCAACATGGTCGAACTGCACGTCTTCCATGATCATGGCACCGTTAGCCACACCAGCTATCGGGGGCATGCTGCGCTTAATATCCCGGAGGCAGCGTTGAAGAGACGTTCGACTGGTAATATCCCTGGTGTAAAGCCAAAAGTAAGTATGACAGATGTCAATGGAGTAGAAAGGGAAATTACAATGATAGCGGTCGAACAGTGGCACCGAGATCTTCAGCTTTGCGAAGGAAAGCTGGAGCTATCTTGGGGTTACGACTCGCTAGGACAATAAAACCAGCCCCCCTATGAGCCATCCAGTGGCAAAGAGACTGTCCAACCTCTCCAGCGAGGCCAATCATGAGATAGGTCCGATCGCGGCGGAAAATCGGCTCATTGTCAATTCGCTTTAGATGAACCGGCACCGCGGGAACATTCCAGTCAACTAACTGAATGGGTTCTCCTATCGGGTTATGGAATGAAACCTCCCC